CTGACCATGCAGGATCGATTCTCCAAATGGATAGAGATGACGCCGCTCCGCCAAGCCACCGCCGCCAACGTCACACGAGAAGTAGCTGGACGTATTATATATCGTCACGGCTGCCCGGACACCATCGTCTCTGATAACGGGACTCAGTTGAGATCGCACCAGCTCGAGGGATTACTACGATCCTTCGGGATCAAGCATAGAACCGCCCCCGCCTACGCACCGCAGTGCAACCCGGTCGAGCGAGCCAACCGCACCATAAAGACCATGGTGGCGCAATATGTGGAAGGCCGACATCGCCGTTGGGATGAACACATTCCCCAGCTCCAGTTCGCTTTCAATACCGCACGACAAGAATCCACGGGATACACCCCGGCCTTTCTGATGTACGGCCGGGAGTTACAATCACCGCATCCCGACGACCGCCGCCCGGCAACGACCAGCAACGCTCCTGAAACAGTTCGACGTCGACTCGAAGACGCCTACGAAATTGTCAGAATCAACCTGGCCCGCGCCTTCCAACATCAACAGCGAAACTACGATTTACGTCGACGCGACTGGCGTCCACAAGTTGGAGACCGAGTATGGAAAAAGGAGCACCCGTTATCGAACAAAGAGCGCGGCTTTAATGCCAAACTAGCACCAAGATTTGGTGGCCCGTTGACGATCAGACGCATCATCTCCCCCGTCATCGTGGACCTGAAGGACGACCGAGGTCGATGGCATCGGCACGTCCACGTGAGGGACTTGAAATCCGCCTCCGAACCGCGTCCTGCGACCGAACCCTAGTCCGATACCCGAGCAACGCGCGCCGATTAACGCCGCCGGTCAACCGTTAGGCATGTTCGCGGTTTCGAATCAAAATACGTGGAGCGGCACTCTTCATGGTCCGCGTCTTGTCGAAAATCTTTGGCCGAATACCGGGAACGACATTCTTCATGGTCCGCGCTTTGCCACCCGGTCCCGAACCGAGAGCGGCACTCTTCATGGTCCGCGCTTTGCCACCCGGTCCCGCACCGGGAGCGGCACTCTTCATGGTCCGCGTCCAGATCACCGAGGGGTATAAAGAACGGGCACCCTTGGGTCGGAACTCATCCCGTCACGATGGAAACACCAAACGAAGAAGCAAACCAGCGCTCAAAAGAAAATCCGTCCGTTTCCGGACGAAATCTGCCCGTTTCCGGGCGAACCACCCGGCCAGTACCGGGAATAGGGACCCGCATCCAGCGGTCCGACGCCGAGCAGCGACGTCGGAACTTGGTGCTCTTGGAGGCACCTCCGCCTCCCCCGGGCAGACGCCGACCTATCCCGGTGAACACCCGGCATCGACGACCACCGGTCCTCTCCGACTCCCCGGCCTCCACCGTCGCCGGCGTCACCAGGCCCACGACGACACCGGCCAGCGCACGCCAGCCCGCTCGACCATCCGCGAACCGATCGGTTCCCTCAACCGGCACCCGCCGACACACGCCATCCGCTGTCGCACCGCCAGCCACCACGCGCCAGTCAGCGACGCCTGACGAAGCGGACCAGCCAGCGCATCGCGCCAACACAGGCCAACAGGTGCGATCCCTTGTCGCGCCACCAGCCAGGGAGCCACCCCAACCGGCACCACGCCGACCTCCAACCGGCCAGGCCCCACCAGTGCCAGCACCACGCCCGGGACCGCCACGACCCATCCAGGTCACTCTGGGGGATGGCCAAACCGTCGACATACCGTACCACGCCGCCACCATCTCACGGCGGTATAAGGTACGCACCCCGACGGGCCGGTGGATCATCAGATTCGACCGACGAGGAAGACCGCGAACGATCCGTCGAATAGCCCCCCCCCTAGAAAAGGAGGGTGATGTGACGACCCGATTAGCCGTCACTAGTCGCCCGCGCTCGTGTAAACGGCCCCTTTCGGGGCCACCACACGAATACGTTGGGAATCCGCCTTTTCGCCCCCACCCGTCACTCGACCCCCTCCAAGCTAGTCTTAGAGTGGGGTGGCCGACGGGTATAAAGAGCGGCGCAGCCGAGACTTCGACACCAGTCCCGTCCTGGTCCCTCGAGCGTACTCAGGGATCACTCCTCAACTCCCACACTCCAAATCACCCCGGCCGACGAGCGTTCTCGTCGTGCAGGCCGAGCGTTCTCGGTCACCGGGTCCTGTCCGTAACTCACCCCGGCCGACGAGCGTTCTCGTCGTGCAGGCCGAGCGTCCTCGGTCACCGGGTCCTGTCCGTAAATCACCCCGGCCGACGAGCGTTCTCGTCGTGCAGGCCGAGCGTTCTCGGTCACCGGGTCCTGTCCGTAACTCACCCCGGCCGACGAGCGTTCTCGTCGTGCAGGCCGAGCGTTCTCGGTCACCGGGTCCTGTCCGTAACTCACCCCGGCCGACGAGCGTTCTCGTCGTGCAGGCCGAGCGTCCTCGGTCACCGGGTCCTGTCCGTAAATCACCCCGGCCGACGAGCGTTCTCGTCGTGCAGGCCGAGCGTTCTCGGTCACCGGGTCCTGTCCGTAACTCACCCCGGCCGACGAGCGTTCTCGTCGTGCAGGCCGAGCGTCCTCGGTCACCGGGTCCTGTCCGTAAATCACCCCGGCCGACGAGCGTTCTCGTCGTGCAGGCCGAGCGTCTCGGTCACCGGGTCCTGTCCGTAACTCACCCCGGCCGACGAGCGTTCTCGTCGTGCAGGCCGAGCGTTCTCGGTCACCGGGTCCTGTCCGTAAATCACCCCGGCCGACGAGCGTTCTCGTCGTGCAGGCCGAGCGTCCTCGGTCACCGGGTCCTGTCCGTAAATCACCCCGGCCGACGAGCGTTCTCGTCGTGCAGGCGAGCGTTCTCGGTCACCGGGTCCTGTCCGTAAATCACCCGGCCGACGAGCGTCTCGTCGTGCAGGCCGAGCGTCCTCGGTCCCGGGTCCTGTCCGTAAATCACCCCGGCCGACGAGCGTTCTGTCGTGCAGGCCGAGCGTCCTCGGTCACGGGTCCTGTCCGTAAATTTACCCGGGCCGACGAGCGTCTCGTCGTGCAGGCCGAGCGTCCTCGGTCACCGGGTAACCTGAAAGTAACAAAAAAACACACCCGCGCCCGACGGAGCTCGCCCTTCTAAGGCGGCCCGTACGCGTGTCCGCGTTGGAAACTCTAGCAATAAGTCGTGTCCGCGTCGTATAATCTGGTCGCGTCTCGTCCGTAATATTTCTATCCGTAATCCTAGCATAAGTCGGTCCGCGTCCGTATAATCTGGTCGCGTTCGTCCGTAATATTTTCTATCCGTCAATCCTAGCAATAAGTCGTGTCCGCGTCCGTATAATCTGGTCGCGTCTCGTCCGTAATATTTCTATCTGTCAATCCTAGCAATAAGTCGTGTACGCGTCTGTATCATCTGGTCGCGTTTCGTCCGATTATACTGTGCTGTGTATAATGGTTTGAATCACGGGAGAACCACAGGAAGGTGGCCCCGAATAAACTCTACTTTTACCAGAGCAACCGTGTGTCATTGTAAATCTGAGTCTCCCCTCTTCCCGAATCCTGGCACCGACGAGCCGATCCGTGGCGTCGGGAAAGGTGCTTCGTTACCATTATATTCTGAAAAAGAATTTTAACGTTATATAGATTGACAAAACATCTAAACAAAATTCTTGTAGAAGAATTCGAGCCATATATTCTTTACGCGCAAAAAGCGTCGCATCCCAAATTATATTAAAGTAAAGAGTTAAAAATTTATTAAAAAATGCATTAATTATTGACGACAATATAATATAATTAATCTTTATCAATAATAGGTATTATGTGCTCTAATTATGCTCAAGGCAGTTATCAAAAATCTGTTAGCGCTGATACTAAATTAAATATTGCACAGTCTACAGTTAGCATAATTTTAAAAAGTTACATCGCAATAAAATGACAAATGTTAAGACAATGATACATTTTCCATAACTCACACCGAAAATCAGGAAAATTGTACAAAGTATAAAAAATATTATAACTACAATATATTGTTATACTATATTTAACACATTAATACGAGAAATTAATAATTAATTTAAAATTAATACACAATAACATTTTAAAATATATAAAATTCCAAACATACATTATAAACATTAATTTAACATTATAAACATTAATTTAAACATTATAAACATACGCAATATTATTCTGTCGATGATTCTTCGTTTTCGTCATTATTTTTTTTGTTGATTTGTTCGGCGTCTGCAAAAATTTGTAACGATGCACCCCCCCCATCATCCGATGCATGTCGGAAGGCTGCGCCCGGCGCAGCGGGCGCATACGGCCACCCTAATCTTTCTCATATAGTCGCGAAGCGACTTATAATTCGTATACGACACAAGGGGCGGAATCATAGATGTTTCTTGAGTTTCAAGACAACCTTAAGCTAGTGCTTAAGATCGTGATAGTTTCATGAACATTTCTAAAGACGATTTTCAAACTGAAACTTGAGATCAGCTTAATGAAGCAAATTCTGTTTCATAGTCAAATCTTAAGTACGACTTAAAAATTATTAGATGCACAATCATGACTCAAACCATATCTTAGCAGGTCTTAATGAAGTCAGTAATTGTAGACTTAAGACGGTTGTGAAATAAAGTGCTGTATAGGGTATATAAAAATAAAATAGTTATGATCAATTATATAAAATTATTTAAAAATAAACATTTAATCCTATATACGATATTAATTAATTATTTATAATACATTTATTACAAATTTACATAATATTATTTTTTGAGGTTTTATATTTACATTAAAGGTATTATGGAATTTAATATATTGGGCCAGTTTGACATTAACTTGTTTGAAAGTTCTGATTCCTCTTCTGATGAAGAAAATGACGAAAATGAAGAAAATTGGCATAATACGTGAAAAACGATATGTGCGAGATGCAATTAATCCATTTACAGCTTATCGTGAACACGAATTTCATATAAGATATAGATTCTCAAAAAATTCTGTTATGCATGGATTATTGCCTTGGTATAAATGGTTTAACAAAGCCTGATAATCGAGGTCTTCCTATTGAACCAGTTATTCAATTGCTTTGTTTAAGATATTATGCTACCAGCAGTTTTCAAGTAAATTCTCTATATTACATATCATTAATTTAAAAGAGACATAAATAATTGTATTATATATTTTATGTTTTAGAAAGTAAACGGAGATCTTATGAAATTACCACAACCAACAATTAGTAGAATTATATTTAGAGTAACTATGATATTAGCATCTTATTTGAATAGTCATGTTAAATTTGTGACACATGAAGGAGCTATACAAGAAAAACGCAGATTATTTAAAGAATTAGGATATGGGAGATTGGAGCTATTGGACTTCCTTACATTGATGGGGCAATAGACTGCACACACATTAGATTATGTAAGTAATAATTTCGGGGGACTGGGCTGATGTATGAAATAGAAAAGGAGATTTCTCTTTTAAATGTCCAGGTAAAGTAATAAAATTATGTTTCTATTTAACTAATATTTATTTGTTTTTTATTGTCTTATTCTTTATTTATGTATAAGGCTATCGTGGGACCACGCATGGAATTTTTAGATCTCGTCCCAGAATGCCAGGAAGGGAACACGATAGCAGAATTTTCCAAAATTCTAGAATTTTTATGCGGTATCAACAACGTGAATTAACAGGAATGATAGTTGGAGATTCTGGATATCCTGCTCTTACATTTCTGTTAACACCATTCAGAATCCTCAAAATGAAGAGAACAAAAGTTAGATATTAAAAATTGAAATTTAATAAATTTTGAAGTTTCTGGTTTTTAATATACATACAGATATTAATAACTAAAAAATTTTATCGAAGATATAATGAAATTCAATCAAGAACACGAATGGTTGTTGAAAGAACTTTTGGAGTATGGAAGAGACGTTTCCTTGCTTATCAAGAGGATTGTCTTTAAAACTTGTAACATGTACTGGAGTCGTATCAGGTGTGCAGTTTTACATAATTTAGCACTATATTTAAAGATGTGCTTCCAGAAGAACCAGAAGTTGATGTAATATT